AATTGAATGAAGGAATAAATATCCATAGGCACTTTTTGCATACAAAAAATTTATTCTATGAAATCACGAATAGGGGAGGAAATGAGAGATGTAAGATAAGAGACCAAGTCACATACAAATCTATCTTTTTCTTGCTTACTCAGTAAATAGGATGAAGGTGGAGATGGAGAACTAATTCAATTTTTACTAAAAATGCAAATTTTCTGACCATTGATTAACATTTTTATTGAGATAATAACAATAATCATAAAAATAAATCAGAGTAGCAGATATGAGTATCATCATGAAATTATACAAGCATAGACAAATGAAGAAGAAGGATGTAGCAAAAATGCAAAATAATTGAAACAAATTGAAGAGGAATCTTGGCTCATAAAATGAATTGCTGATGCTTCTAATGGGGATATTATGGGATACTTTGAGAATTTTGAATTTTTTGGGGTTTTTATCAATGGTGCGGAACTGATGAGATGATCAAAAAATTACCAAAATGGTCAAAATTAATCAATAATGGTCAAAACGTAATTAATCAGTTCCGCACCCTTGGATTTTATTTGTTTGATATTGACAAAAGATACAGTTGTGAGAGTCTTAGTGATAGACTTTAAGATCAAATCATATCGAGCATGCAATTTGCTTTCATTTCTTTCAAATACCTCAAAAAAACCAGGAATACTTCCCCTAAAAAAATTATTATCTCTGTTAGGGGCCGTTCACTTATGACGTACAGGAGGGGGGGGGGGGGGGATCAACAAGAAAAGAACAATAGAAATTCCTGGAAATCAATTGTTCTTTTTTTGAAAAATGACCGTTAATTTCGGACGTCATAATTGAACGTCCCCTTAACTTCTTTGCATTAAACTTCATCCAGAAAAATACTATAAACTTTCAATACCCAATCGAGGGGATTTAGATGAAAATTAAATTTTAATTTTATGAGCCACGATGAAGAAGAAGAAGGAAGCAGCAGAATAAGAAGAAATGTTAATTATTCTCCATCTCCCTTGCTTATATTTTATTCCATTTTCACATCGCTTATGTCTTTTCCACAATGTATCATCCCCCCAGAGACCGACTGAGATGAAAATTGAATTTTAATCTTTCCATTCTACCCTTTTTTGCTTCTTACCATTTCCTAGCCCCCCCACACACTTTATAATATTTTTCATACTTTAACTCATAATTTAATTTCTCTAATGGATTTTACTTCTTTTTCTTTTAATTCCATTCTCTTCTTCTTTTTGCTCTTTACTATAAAATTAAGCGACGCAAAAAGAAGAAGAAATGAAAAAAAAAGTCTTTTTGAGCAAAACGACAACAGCAAAAGTTTCCCTTCAAATTTTTTTTTGTGTGTTCCTTTTTGTGATGAAGGGAAGAAAAAGTTCCAACTTAATATCATTAACCAATGAAAAAAAAATTAAAGCAAGAGATTACTTACTTTCTTAAAAATTTGAAGAGATTTTTATCTTAAAAGAACATGGAATGGGCAAAGGATAGGCACTAGATGGTGTCGGAGATTTATGGCAACTCAGAATCTAACTGCTGCTTTAAAAAAGGCTTTGATTTCAGATTTTATTCTTATATGAATACTTTAAAGATATATCAAGTTCAAATGCATGGTAGAGGAAGGGGCTGGTTTTAACTCCATTGTCATAAAAGGACCAAAAATTCTATTTCAATTGTCAATGATCAATCGAAAACATAATCTCGAGTAAGCAATTGCTCCTCTACCAGTCTATTGCCTCTGTAGCCTAATTAGCTAGTTGGTTTTCTCAAATTCAATGTGGTCAATCATGATTCATGAGTTCGAATCCTATGATTTGATGAATCTCATTCCCAGAAACTAAGGAAACAAAATCTTAGAATCTATTCCAAAAAAAGATAGAGTCTACACCTTAAAAGTTGCAATAGATTGCAAAAAAGGGGTAAGTTTCTCATTTTTCTCAAGTGAAAAGTAAACGAGAAGGAAGATGCTTTGAGAGGCTTAAAGATTTCATCTCTGCGGTGTATTGTTGACTCGTTTCTGAAGAAAAAGTACTTCTAACTGAAGCATCAGTTTTTAATGTTAAGTGCTTTTTAAATAATCAAGGTGGATTTGATGCTTTTACTTTAGATTTGCTGGAGTTTATGGTATAGTTTGGTGTTCGGGGTTAATTTATCCTGTATCTTATTCAGATTTAGAAGATTTACTTAAGGTTAGACTTGAAATTTGTAGTAAGTCGAGTTTAGTTGACTAGATTATTTTAAGCTTAAAATCTCTTCAGTTTGTCTTTAAAACTCTCTAAAAGAATTCATATAAAATTATAAGATCAAATCCAAGAACCTCCAGCCAGTCCATTCACATTATCCCTAAACATTCAATCTTCTTCATTGCCGTTTCGCACCATTAATCCTACGACATCTTTTTTTTGCTTAATTTTCATCTCATTTCTGTTTTTTTTTTTTCATCTTCTCGACCCTAGCCATTTATCGATGAGACAATCAGACATTAAGCAAAATACAGTCATTTAATGATAAAGCAAAGTCCATTAAGTATAATCATAAAAGAGATGAAACTTTCTTCCTGCATCCTTTTCGTCTTATTTATTCTTTATCATTATGTGACCATAACAACAACAAGACTAGTTAGTAGTCTGACTTTGTACGACTACGGTTATTGTCGTAATTTATCTTTTTTAATTAATCATTCTTGTTCATGTTGATGGTTGTTTGGTGGAAAATGAGCAGATTTCGATTGGAGTTTTGGGTAAGTTTAAGGAACTATAAAGGTATGAAGGTGCTGAGATAGTTTCAGAGGCTTAATACTCACTTTCTTTAAATGTTTTCTTTCCTCAACATTTTAATTCGAATTATTAAATGAATTAATTCCTTTAATAAACAAACTAAAGACAAAGGCATGGAAGAATAACAAAAAAGGGAGCAAATGACAATATAAGAAAAGGTCAACAGTCCAAAGGCAATGAAGTAAAGTTTAAGAAGATAAAAAGATATTCAAAAAAGAGAAAATTGTTTAATTTATCCTCGAAGAAAGGAAGCAAAAAACGTGGAGTCAAAAATTGCGAATTGTGTTTCGCGTCTTTAGAAGATGAAAAACGTGACACGTGCTGTTATGATCTAAAAGTTTGCTTCCTACAATGTCTTTTATCATAAAAATTCGTAAGCTACTTCTGAGAAATTCGGATTTATTTTTCACTCTGCGATGAGGAACCTGAAAGCGTCAAATGAGAATATCTTCTGAGAAAAATGATATTCATTGATCTGTGTAACTATGAAGCTTTAATAAGTGTAAATCATGTGTCAAAAGAACAAGTTGATTTCAAGATTTCTAATGTACATAATTGAGATTTTAGTCTTGCTGATTGTATACAGTTCTGAGAAGCTTTAAATAAAGAAATTATAAAGATTTCTAATGAGGTAATTAAACTTTTGAATAGGAGAAGCTCAGGAAGGATTATAAAGGTTAGATTAGATTTGAGTCAATATATATTCACTTTTTAACCACTAATCTTTGACTTCACACTACCAATGATTACCAAACCATCGAAATTTCCAATACTTTTTCATCAATTTTTCATCCTAAAGCTTTTTAAGTGTATTTCGGAATAATTACTTTTATAAAATTACCACGAAACACTTTTCAACCTTCATCTAAATTTTTAGAACCATTCAGCTCATGAATTTATATTTCAGACTATGAAACCAATTGAAAAATGTCAACAAGACCTTCTTGGAATGAATTTATATCCTTTTAATTTACTTTTTTAAATGCAAAAAAAATATGTTTCTGGAAAAACAATTTTAGACTCGTGTTTGGAGGCTTTTAATGTGAAATTATGTAATTAATTTGGAATTTTAAGCAACTTATTGTGAATTGGAGTTGGTCAAGGCTATTAATTTATCTTAAATACTAATCGAAAGTTAAGATGGATTTTCAAAATAAATATTAACTTTAAAGCCTTTACCACCTTTAATTTCCAAGAAGAATCAGATTAATTAATTCATCAACCAACACAATTCCATCACAAAGAAATCAATTAAATCAGTAACAAGCCAATATTGCTTAAATTGACATTTTAATTATTATTATTATTCCTATTAAAAAACAAATTATTTATATCAAAATATATTGCCTTGCTACATATTTCCCATCACAATGATTTCTCGGAAGTAAGACAAACTTTATAGACCTTGAAAAATCAGAAAAATGTATTTTTCTTCTTGATTACCATAAATAAATTTTCTCTTGGTATTGAAATAAACCTTTCCGTAATTAAATTTTGGGTCAACAATATTAAAATTTTAAAATATCCGGAACCTTAAAAAAAAAAAGCAAACTTAATTTTGGGTAAGGAAGTTCATTAAATAGAAATGATGAAGAAGAAAAAGTAGCAAAAATTCCTTCCATTAAAAAATTGTTTAAAGATTTATAACATGGACAGGTTAAAGCTACTCGACTGCCATGCTTGTTGGATGATAAAAATCTTGAAAGTCAATAAAAGCTATTGTCCTCTTAATGTGCTTAATTACATCAACATTTTTTACTGCTTTTACTGACGATGGCAAGTGAAGCGATGTGTAAATGAAGAATGAAGAAGATTTAATGACTGTGAATGGAATGGGATGGGACTATGGGGGCAGGTTGTAGGAAATAAAGTGGAAATAGGTGTAAGGATGGGGAAATAGTTGATAAAAATATGAATAACGAATTATAGTTTTGAGGCAAGGAAAATGTTTTGATTTGACGATTAAAGCTACTCAGAAGTCAAATCAGAATTTATTTTTTTTTTAATGAAAAACTGTTATCAAATTAAGCTTGCTATTTTACAGTAAATTGGACATGAAAATAGCATGAATAGAAATTAGAGTTTAAGTTCTGTCTGACGAATGTTCTATAATTACTGAATCCATACTTGACCATCAAGAAAGCCCATCCCCCTTCCTTTTTCCATCTAAACCCTAATTTACAGCATTAACGGCAATAAACATAAATTTCAACTCACCTTCTCCTCATGCTCACTCTCCAGCTTCTCAAATAGAACAGCTCCAAATACACAATAAGCAACAACAACAGCAATAAGTGTGACATGTGAAAATACACATGAAAAGACCTTCCACGAGACACATAGGCATGTTACACATTTACTACGCGGCACTGGCTCTTCAACCTCATATTTACTACGCATTGACATTTTTCGTCACTTATTGCCTTATTTTTTGTCACTATCAATCTATGATTGAAGAGCAATTTATGAGATTTTTTGGCATCACCATGTGACAATATTAAAATATTTTATCTTCCTTCCTTCCAGCAGCCTCAATTTTATGTATTTCTGATTTCACTTTAATTCTTCTTCACATTCATGCACAGATTCTTCACAGCTTTTTAAATTTATATTCTCAAATTTATTGAATTCACATCTCACATGTCTCTAGTATCTTCCTACACATCCACATCCCTTACTTTTCGAGACGTAGAATTTTTATTTTTTTCGTACACATTTATGGAAATCACGACAATACCATATTGCCTTTTTATGCTGAAATAGAAAAGTTTTTTTTTTCTGTCTTCTTATTTTCACATCACCATACTGTCATGGAATGATGCTGATTTTAATGTTCATCTACTACACAGCCATAGTGTGCAAAAACTGTTGGGAGAGAAAAATGAACAATAAAAGTTGGTGGAAAAAAGGGAAAGTTTGAGATGGGTCAATAGAAAGTTTCGAAATTTATATCCACTGATATTTATAGAAGTTTTTTTACTGTGTGAAAAATAAAGTAGACTAAAAGTTTATTTTTTTGAAATAGTAAATTAAAAAGGAATTTTGTGAAAGCGAAATGAGAACAGTCGGATGAGCAGAAAGGATAATCAATGAATTTTTTTTGTTCACGGTTCATTGACATTTTTGAGAATTGAATGAAAATGTTTTAAGAGAATTTATCAATAAATCTTAAATTATGACTAAAAAAATAAACTTTAGCTGAGTAGACCTTAAAATCCAGAGCTGCGCATTATGTGCGTTACATACAAGGCTAATGAATGTTAAACGAAAGAGGGTCCCTCGCTAAAACTTAGACCAACAGATTATTGTGGAATCCGAATCACTCCTTTTGATGAGGTTCTGCTTGTAGCCTGCAAATAAGGCTGTGAGCCTCATTTTGAGTACATAAGGGACATATGATTCGAAAAAGAATCAAAACTTCAATTTCAGGATGAACAAAATTAAGATAAATTCATTCAGAATTATTGAGCCATTCCAACCATTTTTGCTGCTGTTATCAAACAAAACAATAATAAACGTGATTAAACGTTGTACAATATCACCCATAATCATCAACTGGACGTTAAACTGGTCATTGAAAGTTTAAATTAAAACAAAAAATCCAGAAACTCGAATGAAAATTTATATTTCATTGTTTCAGGGCTTTTTTAAATTCTCACATATCAGCATAATTTTATGATTAACACGAGACGATGATGGTTGTGGTAACAACTATAATGATGACGATTATGACAAAAAAATGTATGATGAAAACTTTTAAATGAGATAATATTTAAGCTATAAGCTGAAATATTGAATAAAACATTCAACTAAAGATTAATTGACTTATTTGATGAGAAATTCGGTTCTTATTCAAAAATTTCAATGACATAGCTCGAACATATACAAAAATAAATGCATGCAGCCTCTCCAATTTTCGAATAATGACTCGAATAATTTATTAATTTATCCCAGAGGTGAACAACCTTTATTGAGCCACGGCACACTTTGCTGCTAAGCCATACACAGCATAAGATTAGTGGGATTTTTCAAATTTTTCTCGGCACAGCTAGTGTGCCGCGGCATATAGGTTGACCATCGCTGATTTATCCTAATTGCCTCATTGAAATCTCATTAAGATTCACTTGAAATCATCAAGCGTATGGATATAAAAACACACATTATGTTATGCATTTACATCAGATGAAAAGAAAAATTTAATTGACTATTGAGATATCCTTCCGCTTAGGAAATTGTTTTAGAAAAAAAAAATTAAAATAATTTCAAGCTTCAATTCAGCAAAAATGATGAAAATTTGTCATCGTTAATTTTTTAATGTTGAAAGTACATCCACTAAGGAAGTAGTCTTGAAGATTAATGATGTACAAAAATAACCGACTAATTAAGTTGGTGGAGGCAAAGAAGAAAAGAATTATGAAAGGTCAGGTTACTTTTGACTATAATTATATAAACTAGAGGCACTGCAAGCATATCTTATGATGCATAGTAGCAGAGTTAAGGAAATATGAGATTATGAAGCTTTTTTATGGATTTGTAATATTTATCCAAAAAAAAACAAAGTTCTTAAATCAAGACCTTGCAAATCAACTCAGACACCTCCAACCTTTAACACTTTCCAAACAACACAAAACTCCTGCCTCGCTTGTATCCACAAGCAAAACAAAACAAGAGAAAATTAACTTCCTCAAGTCACAATTTTTTCAACAGAATCTCCTACTGAAGTGTTCTTGCATAGGACATCATTTTATAGCATTATACAATTAATTATTTACGACGATATAGCACTTTTTTCATGTCGAAAATTAAAGAGCTTTAAGTGAATGAAATCAGAAGCGAATGAAGATGAGGAATGAAGGAGAGAGGAGAAGAAAAAAATCCAATTTCGAGGCGCTGCTTCAGACATATTGTGTAACAGAAGACAAAAATTAATTAATTAATTATGATTTGTTTTTTCGTGAATGTGCAGAATGGAAAATACGACATTTGAGTTCCAATTATAGAACAGTAAGGAATGTTGATGACAGAGTGTATTTGCTGAGCTGTTCTGGATGATTCTGTGGGGATTTTGATGCAGTTATTATTTAAATATGAAGGAATTGCTATAAAGTTGAACTTTTATCATTGGTTTAATAAAATTTTATCTCCTTGAACTGGCCATAAATGATGTTTGACTTTTAGGGGAAGAGGTGACTGAGATACTTTTATACAAAATTATTTTTTTAGGAACATTTTGTCTTTAGTATCTAGTATCTAGTATCTAGTATCTAGTATCTAGTATCTAGTATCTAGTATCTAGTATCTAGTATCTAGTCTTTAGTATCTAGTCTTTAGTATCTAGTATCTAGTATCTAGTATCTAGTATCTAGTATCTAGTATCTAGTATCTAGTATCTAGTATATAGTATATAGTATATAGTATCTAGTATCTAGTATATAGTATCTAGTATATAGTATTTAGTATCTAGTATATAGTATCTAGTATCTAGTATCTAGTATCTAGTAACTAGTCTTTAGTCTTTAGTATCTAGTATCTAGTTTCCAGTATTTAGTATCTAGTCAATATATTAGTTTTTTATTTTGCGTCATTTATAAACAATTCCTTAGCTACTTTTGGTAAATTCAGTGAAGTTTCAAAAAAATTAAATTCTTTAAATCATCTTTATTCCAACAAACGCCACCTATCTTCTAAAATTTACAGATGTATCATCAAAAACCAATTTCATGATTAATTCTTCTTAGTTTTATGTGTATCCCATTAGTAATTGTAATGCGCAAAGCGGTATAAAATAGAATCTTTTACATTATTTGATTTCAATTGTGCTTTTCTAATTAATTCCATTAATCAAGGGTATGCTTTTATGCTCGATACTAAATCATGAGACACGTGGAAGAGGTAATGAAATAACAACAAAAGTTTACATATGTACATCATGCATGTGTATCGCATTTAAGACCTTTTTCGAATATTTTCCTATGAAATATTATTTTGAACTAAATCTAAATTTAATTAAATTGAACGCGATTCGTCAAATTTATTTTATTAAATAAAATTATAATATTCGCATGCAAGCAATTTAAAATATTCATTTAATATTAATCCTTGCGTATGGCTTCATAATCAGATTTTAGCGATCTAATATTCATTAAAATTTATGATATTTTCGTGCTTTAGTCTCTGAAACCAATCATCAAAGCTATGATTACTTATTTGAAGTTATAATCACTATATTTAATCAATTAAAGCTTGTAGCAATTAATTTTTAATTTCTATCATCGAAATGGAAATATCTTAAATTCAAAGCACTATAACTCAATAAATCTAAAATTGATTAATGAATTTAATAAATTCAATTTCAACTAAAACTCTATAAACTCGATTATCTTAATGAAATCTTGTTCCTTTAAAACTTTTACTTTCCGGACTCTTCCATGTAGCACGCGCTCAGCAAAGCACAAACTCGAATGATTTCCATCACAAAGTTTCTTGCAACAAACCTCAAAACAACATTAAATAGCTACTGAAAAAGTATAAATTCGATTATTGAGATCATTCTGATTGAGTCATTTTGCACACGCAATAAATGTTTGTGAGAATTTTGTTAATACTTGGCTTAATTTACTTTTGCGAGGTGTTTATTTGCTAAATTCTAGTCGGTAAGCATATCAAAATTTCTTGACTATTGGAAACTAAAATGTTAAACAATGTAAAGATCGATCTCTTATGACCTTCCTTCATAAAGTCAATTCAAATCATTCGAGATTAGTTAAATTGAATTTTATAAATTTTTAAATCATTAATGAACTTTGCAAATTAAAAGTTTTAAATTTCTCAAAAATAAAACATGAAAACTTTCCAGACAAAAAATTTTATTAATCAGTTCAAAAAACTCTCAGTATTTCAAAATCTCACTATTCACTCATGTACGTAATCCTTTCAACTCTTTTGCAAATTCATTCATCGAATTTTGATATTAAACAGACGAATCGAATTTCTACGAGAACATCTTTGAGTGTTCAGCTTGTTTAATTTTAAATATTTTGCAAACAGATTCTTAAAAAATAATAAAAATAGAATTTTTGTTTAAAAAAGGGTTTGTAGCGTATGCTCAGAATATCATTTTCAATTGTCAAGGAGCTTTTTGTATTATCTCAAAAAATATCAAATCTCTTCTGAATCAGAATAAAAATGTCAACAAGATGTATTGAGAATTGTTTTTAGAGATTTAATGCGATGTATTGAGATGCTTAAGGATTTCTGCAATGTATTTTTAGAAGAAATTGAAGATTTTGAGTGGATTGATATGGAATTATTTTTATAAATCTTATCTTTGTGACTTTATGCGATGAAACTTTCAAATCAAGATTCAAAATGTTTAAAGTATCTCAGTTTTAAACAAAGTTTTTCTTTTATATTTGATTGATGATTGCTTCTATATCAATGATTTTGAGTTCGATCTTATGGAATATCTAGTTAGATTCTCTTTAATTAGATTGTATCTTAGACATTCATACTTGAAAAACAAGTTTCTTTAGCTTTAAATAATAAAATGATTAAACAAATCTTCTCAATCTTGTTTAAAGAACCGGCAAATCTCTAAAACTGAATAATCCCCTACAATAAATTCGAATTTCTTCAAAAATACACCAAAATCAAAATAATCAATAACAAAAGATAACAAATGAACATCAAAAGAATATTCATCAAATAACTGCACGTTGAAAGGCAATATTGATGGATCATTGACAGACAAAAGTATTGACATGTGTCGTGTTTGATAAAAGAAAAAATTGTAAACAAAACTTCAGACTGTTCACTCAGAGTAGAAGCTAGTAAATTTTATAATTTGAGGAGAAACTTAAAATATTCTCAAATGTTGAATTTTTACAAAATTCTCTTTAAAATTCTCAACACTTTCTACTCACTAAAATCACTGTGGTGAATATTCTTTAACAAATAATTGAGAGACTAATTGAGAGAATTTTTTTTCACAAATTTTCACATTTTTCTCACATAATAGTTTTAAAAAAATTGAAATTGAAAATTTTATTAAACCGACACTTAATTCCACTCAATTTCTAATGTCACAAATATTTTATTGTTCACAAAAATATTTTATTTCGCAATAAATCAAAATAAAATAATACAAATCGACACAATGCTGGATTTTTTTTAATATTTCCGGAATTGAAAGCGATGAAAAAATGCTAATTTTCGTACCGATCGCCGTTGTGGAACTAAAAAAGTGAAAATTTTTATGAAAATTATGAGATGAGAACGTGTACAGCATGTGAGAGAGTGATCATTTTTTTTGTCTGATCATTTTCATCTTCATTGAGAAAATTTTCAAAAGTATTTGTGAGAAAATTTCCGATGTTTTTTCAATCTCAAAAAAATAATGAAAAGAAAAGAAAGTGAAAATTTTGTGTAAAGCGCAACACACGACGTGTTGATTGAGTCAGCAATTAAAATTTCAATCCGAATTTCATTAAACACTGCAGGGCTGTTTTTATCGTAGTTAATTTATTAATTGTTTGTTAACAAATATTTGGTCAATATTTGTGGATCTGAAAACATTTTAAATTGAGTTATCAAGTGATTTTCACAGATTTTTAATTTTAATGAAACATTCTCTTTGATCAATTTTCACTTGTGTGAAGATTTTTATTTGATTTCGGGTTTAATTGAAAATTTCTTTTATGAAAATGAAAATTAATTAATTTTATATTTCATGTGCAATTATCTCAGACACAATTAAAAATAAAATTGAAGTCAAGTGTGAAATATAATCGGAATAATAAAAATCATTATGTAAGACTGAAACGAACTAGGAGTAGTTATAGGATCAAGGTGTGTAATCAGGCAATTTTCAATATAAGGGTGGGTTTGGATGTGCGTAGACTAGTAATGGCCAACCCATGTGACGCGAAAAAAATTCGAGAAATTCTAAAAAACCTAATGCTGTTCGTGGGTTAGTTCATAACCTACATCGAAGGTGTGCCGTGTCACAAAAAATGTTGTTTAATACTGGTTAAGGTAAAGACACTTGAGACGGATGCAACTTTTATCAAAAAAACCTCAGGATTTTGACATTAAAACAAATTCCACCCGGCTAAAATCATAATGAGGTCCTAGGTTTCTCTTCTATGAAACCATTTTAAAGTACATTTTTAACACTTAAATTCAATATTTTTATTTCACTCAATTCCAACCAAATCTACAACAACACAAAAAAATCTAAAAATAACACCATCTCAAATTCTACTCAGAACATAAATCCAATTACACTGAAAATTCTCAATATTTATTTTGTGATGAAGAATTCAAATCATTCTTCAATAAATGGTTATAGTCGTTGACTTTTTGCATTGCAGATTTCTTCAAATCTGAAAATTCATATTCCTGAGAAAAGAAAGGAACAAGACGAAACTCAATAAAATTTAATCAAATTTAAAGTAATGTACTTGCATACCTTATTCAAATCATCAACTGATGCTTGAAGTGATTTATTATCCTTCAATATGTCACTCAGTTTTTCTTCCATGTGTGATATCTGACGATAAGTTTCATTGTTTCTTAAAGTATCCTGGAATGTGTTAAAAATGACTTTTAATTTGAATTTTATGGAAATGAAGTTTATGTGATTTTTGGATGGAATTATGAGCAGTATATGATCTAATAAAAATAGTTTAAAGATCTCAGAATTAAAAGGAAAGCTAGTAAACTCAAGAAAAACTTGTTTTAAATTGAAACCTTAACTTATTTTACTTTTTTAACATTAGGAACCCAGTGGCAAATAAATAAAAACCTAACAAAGGTTACAAAATAAACTTAAATATCATCACAACACGATTGATCAGTTCCACAATCTTCCTTTTTATTTAATAGCATTACTAGTAATTTTTGGTGAGCTGGAGTGGCTCGGTGACGAAATGGTTTAGTACTTTGTTATCTAATTATTAAATAATCGATACTCAGCATGTAGAATTTTTCGGTTGTCCTTTTGTTCAACCATATGTATGTCATTAGATATAAAGCTCACAGCCTTTCTTATTCAACTTTGTGCTAGTCTTTCAATATCAATATAAAATCCTAAATTGAAAATCTTTAAATTCAGAAAATAATATTCCAATGAATATTCAAAAGTAAGCCAATAAATTCTCCATACAGCTTGAACTTACAAAATATCGAATAAATTCAATCAAAAAATTTGCATTTTACTTTCTGTATCAATTCTTCATCCAGTTATCATTCACAACTTTCTATCTTTAAATCAAATTTCTCAATAATCCCAATCAGCATCAATTTATTCAGTCTTACCTTAAGAGCTTTATATCTCTTTTCTGAATCCTCAACGACACTTTCTGTGACGCGCTTTTTATCCTTCAATTCCTGCAATGCTGTTGAAATTTCTTCGTATTTTATCGCATACTCTTCTCTCAATGAATTCAAGTTGCTGTATTTTCGTATGTCTTCCAATAAATTCCCTTCCGTATCTTTCAAATCGTCAAGTTGCTTCTTGATTCTCTTCTCTAAAATTTTCAACTGTTTTAATTGAATTTGAAGCTTTCGATACTCTTTGACTAATCCTTCTTGTGAATTTAAATTGTGGGAATTTTCATTCAATATTGACGTGCTGATTTTCATGTTGCCGTCAACTTTAGAACTCATTCCTTGCAATGTGATCTGCTCGATTGCAAATGTTATTTGATTCTTGAGGTTTTCGACATCTGAAATAAAGTTTGTTGTACTAGTCTGGTTTTTTAATGTTTAAATTAGATTTAAAATAGGACATATGGCTTACGCTGCTTCTCTTTAGTCATCTGCATCTGGAAAGTTTCCATAAAATTTGTCATCATTTCGTCTCGTTTCTTTAATTCACGAAACTTTACAAATCTTTCAGACGACCCTTCTTCCAAATCTTGCTCAATTTGACTCAGTGTCTCCCTCTTCTCTTGTAGCTGATCAGAAATAATTTTCATCTGCTTATTCATACTACTAATTGACTGATTATTCATTCGAACGTCACTTATCAACTTTTCTCGTTCTTGTGCTGGCGTCAAACGATTCATTTCCTCATCTTTTAATTGATTACGTTTAGCAGTTGTTTCACGTAATTTTGAATGTAGCTTAATTGCTTCCAAACGTGACTGCGAATTGATAACAGAGCTGCTTAATTTCTCCTTTTGCTTTATTGTTGACTCGATTTTTGCATGAATCTCTGAATTTTCTGATTTTAATTTCTCGCATATTATTTGATATTCTCGGTATTTGTTTTGATCATCGGGGCTTAAAGCATAAATCAACTCATTAACTTTATTTTTCTCTGCCTCAATTGCCTCAATTAGTTGTTGATTTTGTGATTCTTTATTCTGTCTGTCTTTGAAAACTTGCTCGAGCTGATTTTGAAGAATTTCATTTTTCTCGCGAAATGCTACTGCTTCGTTTTGAAGCTGCTGACGTGTTGCGCCTGACGATGTGCTGTCTAGAGCTAAGTTGATCTCGGATAGGGTTGAATGAAGGTCTTGAAATTTTTAAAAAATTATTATTGAGCTACAGACTTGGCACACTTTTAAGTTTTGACCAAATGGAAATGGATAGAGGCTGCCATGAGACTACCTTTATTCTTGATACTGCCGCTTGGTTCTAAGTGTCTTCTGCACTTGCCATTTGTGAATTTAAAAGCTTTCAATGTGTGCCAATTAGAAAAATTCGTCCCTTTACCCAAATTACTTACTCGACAAGTCCTTTGCCTGATCCTTGACCTTCTTCTCATACAACTTCTTCGCTGACGTCTCTCGATCTAAATTTTTCTTCTCCTTCTTCAATTTCTCGACTTCCTGCAAAATCTCCTGAACCTTCGATTGCAATAAAGCAATCCAATAGCGCTTATCTTTCACTTGTCGCATACTTGATGATGCTGTTCCAATTCGTCCATAAGACGTTGTAATACCCGATAAGCCTTGTTGCGTTAGAGGACGATCAGATAAGCCCTTTATATTTGAATGAATGAAGCAATATTTTTATTAAGGGTGCAATAATTTTACTTAATAAGAATAAATTGTGTAAATATTTTTATAGGGATGATAAATTAATTTGTAATTGAGACGGGTCAACAGAATTAAGAAGATTGATGGGAAAATTTAATGATTTGCATGTTGAATTTTTAATTATTTTGTCGACCTTTGGGGCCGTTCACTTATTACGTTACGCAAAAAAACGACTTTTTTCACCCCCCCCTCTCCCCTTGTTACAATATGTTACAACTCACAACCCACCCCCCCCCCCCCCCCCCCCACCTGAACGTTCATAATTTATTTTATGATTAAAAATCATCTCCCCCCTAAAATGCGAACGTAATAAGTGAACGGCCCTTTTGGGAAATTCTTTTTTCTTGTGAAATGTTTTTTATGGATTTGGATGATTAATTAAGAGTTATGGCTATAAAATTAATAATTTTAAAAAAATTCTCAAATTTCATGATCATAAAAACTTACAATTTGCGATATTCCAATATTTTTCGATGTACCAAGCCTATTCGATGGCATAGCACTCAACCTTGATGCTGTACCAATTCTAGACATCGGTCTTGTTGATGATGGTCGGGATGCTTCCATATTTATTGCTTATTTCTTGATAAATTTAAATTTACAAATATTTTCAATGATAAAAAAATATTTTTCATAATGTTTGAATATTTGTGTTGCTATGGAAACAAGTCAAAGTACACAAGCGGAACATAGCTCAAAGCAATTTTTTTATCGTTTATTATGTATGTCTGGGGAACCTGTGTGTAAACAATATGCATATTGCATGTTTATATTCAAGTATATGGAGTATATGATAATGTGGTTGTATTTTTTGCGCTTTATTTTTTGTATAACGTAACTATGGGGGTGCTTTTTGCGTCTTTATGCAAATCTTGTAAAGATGCTTTAAGGCAATGCAGTTCAAATAATATTATTTTACTGTCAACTGTGTTATTTTAGTCTATGAATTCATCTGTAGGTTTCAAATAAACAAGGCTAATGAGCATTTTAATTTAAACAGCTGAAAGTAAAGGTCATTAAAGGATGCTCAATGTCTAGTCTTAATTACTAGATTTCTTATGTATTTTCAATGTCGCACAAAACAATTTCTACAGCACCGAGTTCTACTGTTAGTTCTCTATTTTTATTAAAAATCATTTTCTTTCATGGAATATAATCACCTTGAAATTGCTGCTATGAAAAATCGATAAAAATGCAATAAAATCAGATGTCATAACAGCACACATTTTCGAGTAATTATTTCCTCAAAATATGTATGCCTAATAAACGTTGGACTAAATTAAGGACTCATAAATGCTATTTTCATCTCTACACATCAAACTTCTACTAACCCAAACATATGTAGAAGAAATAATCATAAAAACATGTGTGCAAAAACTTTTTGATGAGCTTCCAATTCCTCATCATTTTCGTCTACATCCTCGATGGTAATATTTGGGACACTAATCTATTCGTAGAGAAGAGTTGTGTTGGCAAAAAAATGTGAAAATTCAAGCCGAGGTTTTGAAGATTTGCTAAAATTCCTGGGCTTTTTGTTCAATAATTGAAATAAAAATAAGATTCAATTATGACTAAGCTAAGGCACACCTGATAGTCTTTGATAACAACCCTGCCAGCATAATAAGGAGAAGGGGGGTTCTGCGACCATACAGAACTTACAGAATTTAAATTATGTACCCCCCCCCCCTCCCCCTCCTTAAAAAAATATCTGACTTTGCTCTGTCATCCACACATGCCGATACTTTAATCCATAAATTTAATTCATACCTCATTAAATCATGCGACGGGATACAATTTCTATGTCACTATAGAAAGAAGCAATAAAATCCAATGAAAAAAGTTCTTTTCAACTAAACCCCAACATAGTTGTTACATATTCATTCGTATGCCTTACTAACTCACTTAAAACAATTGCCAAAGATCAATTAATCACTCCCATTACGTTAATAAAAAGGCATTAAGGGTCGCTTGGAGCACTGGCATAAAATTGTAACAATTGAACTTCCTCAACTGGTTGAAACGTGGGAAAGTGATGAGGGGATGGATGTGAATGAGAATGAGAAACTTTTAGCATCGCAATTCGAATGTAGAATTCATAATTAGAAAGGCAAATATACATAAATGAATGTGTACAATGAGGAATAAGGCTAAAAGCTATCGTCATCACAACAGCATACACACGCTTACTCAATGAACTTCATTATATGACCCGAGATTTATTGATTTCCAAGTTTTTGTCGGAATAATTTCTTTTCTGTAGTCGAGCTTTTTCCTTGATTCTTTATGGGAGAATGATTTTGGGGTGTTGAGAGGGAATTTTGGGGTTGAGCTATGACGGTTTGGGTGCTCAACTTTTTTTATCAAGCTTACAAAATCAACGTTTTAAAAAAAAATAAGTAAGAAACTCTTTTTAAAAATGCGCTCTAGACACCTCTCATACCATCCAACCCCCTTCCATACGCACCATTACATTTCATTTTCCAAGATCAATTCTATTGGATTTTATTGTTTCACTCACATCTGTATCTATTCAGTTTCATTAATTTTTATGTATGACTGTGTAAGTAGCATGAAGCACACAATGACCTGGGATAACTAATTAATAAAAATACGCACATATTCGGTCCTGATAATAAAATAAAGATTTTTTTTTTCTGTACTCATTCCATTTCACATCACACTATGGTGCTGTTGCTGTATAGATTTTACTTTGCTTAGGTATCCATGACTGTTAATGCCAGCATGCTTTCGATTTCTTGATTGAACGTGCACTGAATATTTCATCTATTGATTGTTATTATTATTATCAAGATTCAAGCACTTGATGCGTGAAGAATGAAAGCTATGGTAATGAAAGAAAGAACTCAAAAGGAAAAAATAAGTGGAGAGATGGCTGAGCGAATGAGTGAATGGAATGGAAGGTAAAAAGGGTAAAAATGAAAATAAATCTCATAGGCAAAGGAATGAAAATAATTTCTGTTACTGATAAGAAAAATACCTTTGCCGAGCTTCCCAAAAAAAAAGTTCTTCTTGTTAGTTTTGTTTTGGTTCGCTTTTTCAGCCCAGGTTGTTTGTTTAGTGCCAGGGCTTATGAATATTAGGAGTGGATTGTGATCATGATTGGTGTAATTAGGAATTGATGTATTTTGTATAGGAGGTGATATTGAGTGATAAATTATGAAGCTTGAAGGGGCTCTTTATCTTTGTTTGACTGTCCTTAGCAGGTAATCTTAATGTCTATCGAACAAGAAATAGAATTAGGACTCAAAAAGCATTAAGTTACTAAGTTGACTGAATTATGTTATTGATTTGGTAGATTCGATGATTTTTGACATTGGCTTAATGCTGCACTAGCTCTTTTAACATTATATCAGTGACGTTTTCATAAAAAGAGTCCCTTGCAAAGTTTGCATAAGAATTCGATATCCTAAAATGATGTTTGGGTATCTAAAGACTGAGAGATAGCACAAGTTGGTTTATCAGTCAGAAGTCTAAAGGAAGACAGGTGTTACTCTTGCTTGGAACCGGATTTAAATCGAATCCAGCAACGCCAAACTTACGTGACTCTAGTTTTGTTGGATTCAATTTAAATCCGATTCCATGTCAGAGACACGCCGGCTTTTTGTTGGATTTCTGATTGATTATTCGACTTGTGCTATTTGGGGACTCTTATTAGCTATATATTATATATATATATATATATATATATATATATATATATATATATTTTGGTTTTGGAGTATTTTAACTTTCAATTATTGCTATTCTAAAAAGAATCTATTAATGCTGCCATTCAAATTCCTTTCCTGCATTGCTATCGATGTCCATACAACAAAGTATCATCCTATAATTCTCTGTCACAGTCCCATATTCACCATTTCAGAGAATTCCCCTTTGACATTTAAAAGAATTTTCCTTCGTTCTATAAAATTGCTTATCATAAATCAATCGGAATCGGCTGTATAAAGGTCTGCATGCGAAAATCGAAGGTTTATGCGTACGCTGAGAATTTCATCCATTCTATTTATAATTTTCATAGAAACAAGAATTTTTCAATGAACCTTACAATATATTTTGAGAAAAAAAATATTTGATTCCAATGAGAATTCTCTGCTCCATGGAGATCATCTGAATATTGATCACATAATGCGCAATAATTTCCATATTAACTAAATCTCATATCACAAAAAATATGTGAGTTTATGAAAACTTACAAAAAGCACAAAAGTAAAATTTGTAAAGCTGTAAAAACAAAATCAAGGTAAAATAAACAAAAAAAAAACTAATACTTTGGGGCAATTTTCATGGCAGTTCGAGCCAGTTGAGTTTTATTTTCCTTTAAAAACAGCCTCAAAGCATTCATCATATGCTCCCCTTCTTGTAAAAACAATCTCCTATCAGATTACCTTGAAAACATTGCGAGAAATTGAAAACAAGAAACTTTTTTTTTTGAGTTCGTCCTTTTCAGTCTCGGTTCCCACAGCAAAAAAACATTCTGACGAACTTATTGTTTTCTTTAGAAACTCAAAACTTTTTCCCCACAGCTTTCTGAAAATTGATAATAAATAAAAATATTTTTTTTGGTATTAATTAGATTTTTTTTTCATTCATTTTTTTATTGTTTTTTTAGCAATGAAATTTTTTTTTCTATTCTTTTTTTTTATCACATTAATAAATTAATTTATAATCAATTAATTAATACATTATAATTATTTTTAATTGTAATAATAGTTCGGCAATTTTTTTTTAGAATTTTTTTGCTCAACTTCTTCAAATTTCAAATTTATTTAAAAATTTTGGATGGTATTTTTAAGTAGAAAATTTAAAAAACTTTAATTTTGATGGATTTTGGGGCGGGGATGGTGATTATTTTGAACAAAGCATATTCACTAAAATGGCATAATTTGAATATACTACACTAGTCATGAAATCCAGGGGTGTGGAACTGATCGAAATGGTTGGAAACGATCGGAAATGATTAAAATTGATCAAAAATTATCAAAAGTGTTCAAAAATGATAGAAATGATCAAAAATGATTATAAGTGTTCAATCTGTAATTTCTCAGTTCCCCATCCCTGCAAAAAAAATTTCATTTGGAAATTTATTGCAAATATTTGTGAGAATTCATTTCTTCTCGTCATTCTAAAATCGTTTAAAAATATTCTCATCTAGCTAGTCACTTTCCTGTTTGAATTATTCTTAAATGTTAATGAACTGATCTGTGATCGAAGTTTCTGTTTGTCCCTATTAAAGCTATTCATGTAATTTTCTAATTCAATATAACATTTTTTTTCAGAATAAAATTCTCAAACTAGTCTACTTTATGTAGAATGTCACTTCTTTGGTGACTATAAGTAAGTTACAAGTAGAAAAATATGAATGAAGTTTGAATTTATGAGGATTCTTTTAAGTAATTCTTCTCAATGATTTTTGAGCATCTTGGAATTTTAACTCCGCCCCATTAATCCATCAAGCTTACTTGCCAATATTGTTTTTGAAGAAATGATTTTGAAATTTTTTTATATTTAAATTAATTTTATGTGTTTATACAAATTAAGCGAAAAAATACAATTGATTAAGATTAATTCTTGATTTAATTTTAGCGACTAAAAATCATTTTGCTTAATAACATTTTTTTTTCTTTTAATTGTTTTAAGAGCGACAAAAAAAATTAGTTTTCGATAACATTTTCATCAATTTTTATTTATAATTGTGTTAAAAACCTTTTTTTTCTGTATTCGGTAAAAATTCCCCTATTAGTCTTTTAGTAATTCATCTTTTTTTTTGCTTCTTACGAGCTACAGTCGTTCCTTATCATCCTTATTTCTTGTGGTAAAAATATTTTCTCTTCAAAGAGACTCAATCAAGACATGCCCACATGTAAGAGTATATGTAACATAAACATAAAAAAGGGAGAAATGAGAATGAACGTTGATTGAGCTCTCAAATTCTCAAAGGATGATAAAGAAACTCTTTTTTCCTTATTTATTTTTGCGGAAAATAAAAAAATATTGTAGAAAAAAAGCTTAAAAATTATGTAACAAAAAATACTTTCGTTCGATTTTTTATTTATTTTTTTTTTCTTAGTCGGTTGATTGGTTTTTGTTTGATTTATCTTAAAGTGGTTTTGACTTTTTATTTGTTTCTCATTTTTCATCATCATCGTCTTCGTTCTTTTTATTGCTGTATAATTTTATTTTTACAATCCTCTCCTCAAATGGTCACATCTCAATGGAATTAAATGGTCCCCAGTCAATAATCTGGTTTAATTCCTATAAAAGGTCACCATTAGTCAATATGAGCATCAAAATACACGCGTAAGCACAGTTCTTATACAGCAATGAGATGATGATGAAAATAGTTTTAGTGAATAATTCTCAATGTTCTTAAAGATGATGATTCTTATAGTCGAAATGGTTCTCGTTTGTCCAACGGCGTTGTACCACGCGATGAACGTCTTTCGTATTGTGGCTCAACGCTTCCTTTTCTCGGCGTCTGCATTCCTGATGGCGTTGACGATCCACTCAAGTTTCGTCTATATTATTATTTTGGAATAGAAAATAAACGAAAGAAAAAAATTAGAAATTCAATAAGAAAATTGAAAAACACACACAAAAATAAAGTTTATTAGTTTCTTCCGTGTTCTCAGACCCAAACAATAATAAAATAAAGCACACAGACACACACATGTGACAAAGATATTTATTTGTTGATGTATAGTTTTGGATGTTGAAAAATATGTATTGGTAGATTGTTCTCTGTATTTATATTCAATAGTGAAAAATTGTAGTTTTTAGGGATGAGAAACTGATGATGATTTGAATTTTCTGTCCAGGTACCGAAATGTAGACACTCCTGATCCTCTTTTCCGATGCTCCATACATTTAAGTACTCAAGTCTTGAGTTAAATTTCAATTGTGAACGGTCAAGTACCTGACTAGACACCAACACTCTCAAAATATCATTAAACTCAACTTGACTTCAATATCATCAATAGTTCCACATCCCCAAAACTGTCTATATCTACATCTACAGAACACAATGAAAACTTTTGGCAAATAAACATCACAAAAACTCTTGAAAAAGCAGCAAATAACAAAATGAGGAACAAAAAGAAATGAAATTCAATCATGAATGGCATAAATAACAAAACAAAAATTTTCCAAACTAGACATAGATACACACATTTGTATAGCAAGAAAGGAAGTTGTCTCTTAAGAATCATTTCCATCTCCTTGCTATTGTGTGTAGGTTTATTTTACAAAATATTCAAAATATTGTTGAATTAAGATGAAATTTGTTTTTGTGGGGTAAAATGTCAATGAACTGAGGATGATGGACTTTATGTAGAATAGATTTTATTTGATTCTCAGGAATATTTGTTGATGTAAAATGATTTTGGATTATTGTTGTAAATGTAATGCGTTTGTAGGTATGTAATGATCAGGGGCGTAGCCAGGGGGGGGCATAGGGGGCCCGGGCCCCCCCTACGAAAATCTGATAACTGTTTTATTAAGTATTTATAGAGAAGAACCAGTTAATGTAGAGAAAGTGATGAAAGAAATGTCAAAATCAGCACGAAAAATTAAATTTAATGTATGAATAATGAATTAAATATTTAAACTTATGAAGAATGAATATAGATTTAAGGATACAAAACAACGGTTTTTTAATTTTCGAAAATGGGCCCCCCCCTTAAAAATTTTCTGGCTACGCCCCTGGTAATGATATACAGTCAATAGTTTAGATATGGATAAGGCGATTCCCCTTCACTACTCTCTATTTTTGTGAAATTTGCCTTTAAATTCGTCAATTTTATTTCAATTTAATTCCCATAAGATGCTCTTCTATAGCCATACACCTCAATTTGCTTCCAAGAACTTTCTACATCAAATCCTTCAACATTCTCAAAAAAAATGTAAAAGCAAATAAAAGATACATCCAAAAAACTCAAAAGGCATTACATCCTTAAGATTTTTTATTTTCATTGTGATTTTATGCTTCAGAGCATTTCCATCTTATCAGGTGCGTAGTCAGAGTTTAAGTAAAATTATTAAGAATTTTTCAAATGGTGGGAATCATTAGCTGTCAACTTCAATGGCAAATACCCTTATTAAATGGCATCGAAATTGTTTTAGATAAGCAAGTTCAACAAGCTAGTTTAATTTCAACTAGGAGCATGCTTCTAAGGCTAGAAACTTGATGAAGCTAACTGATTTGGCTCCCCTACGACTAGGATTTAAATTCTATGTTCTCATATTTCCAATTTTAATATTTTTTCTGAGACCAGATAAAGTAAGCGCTAGAAAGCAACCCGATACTGATGCTTCCCCTTAGCTACACCTCTGCATCTCCTCCTGTAGGATTGAATTGAATGTAACAAGCTTTTATGCTCACTTTTGTATTCTAAGAAAAAAAAATCTTTTTGAATATTTAAATTTACTTTTTGTGGGATTTTTTTTGTGTGTAAATAACTCGAAGCGTTAAGTGAGTTCTTTGTAAAGTTTTTGAAAACTTGTCAATTTGAATTGTTAAGAATGTCTGTAATTGGGCTTGAAAAAATGGAGCTCTTACAAATTAACTTCGTTTTTCTGTTTCAATAAACACTTTTATAGCTTTAAAATCCTCAACTTATTCAGAATTTTGAAAAAAATCAATCAAAAATATATTTTCGACTTATGTTCTCTGACTGCATATGTCATAAGTAATTGACTATCTCTTAGGATGATTTTATTCCCGAATAAAACGATAAAAAAATAAGCATATTCCAATGAGAATGAAAGAACTCATCATTTTGCACATGAGATGGAATCAATTGAATTTCATAAGCACATACAACTCACAACGTATAAATTGATCAATGAATTTTTTTTTTCCACATATGCACTTATTCACAATGCTTTTCAATTTTTGCTTGTTAAAATCTCCATTCAAGTGGAAATATTTTTCTAAAAAAAAATTCAATCAGACGAAAAAAAAAATATTTTCTTCTTTTCATGATTTTGAATTGAGTGCAATGTGCATTTTTGATGATTTGAGTTTTGGATTTAGGTGTGGACTCTGTGGGAATTTCTATATTGAATCACTTTTAAATGAGCTTTAATGCTTAGGGGATATGCGGGGGTCTAGACGATAGACACTCTTCTGTTAAGAGAAATGTTCTGTCGTTCTGAAACTCCTATGCTGAGCTTGAATCATATCATGGGATGCCATAAAAACCTGCGTTAGCAATTTTGGTTTTAGTGTCAATTTGTGGACTGTTTACTAAAGAATCTTAATTTCTAATGAGGGACCCCCCCCCTCCTAAATATGTCATAACATATGTACAAAACTGTTAAGGTTATTTGATGATTTCTTTCACTATAAAAGAAGGAAACAGTAGTCAAGTCTCTTCCTTAGCACAAGCTACTCTTCGGTTCCTAAGCTACTAGAGTATCCATACCTAGTTTCAATCTAAATCAAGCATTATCGAACAACATAGAATGAATTCAATTCAGCTTTTCATTTTCTTCAACTCCCTCTCCCTCTTCTGAAGCTATTTATCGAATCTTATCTTAATTGTTTTAGCTTTCACAGACGCAGTTCTTCATAAAATAAAAATGTTTCCCTCGTGCATGCACAAAAATGAAAGGAATGAACTTTTTATGACTTTAGTCGAATGATGTGAATTTTTAATTTAAGGGTATTAATGTCTCAAATTATTATGATTATTCCTCAGCATTTTTAAAGATCTTTTGTAAAAGTTAGAATTTCTTTCTCACATAATGATGAGTCATGACTAAGTATCATAATTTATTCATCTCCAAAAAAAATTGTATTCGATTAGGAAAATGTTTGATGAGGGTCTTCGATCGCTTCTTTCAAATATATATATTTTTTATTATTATAGTCATTTTGCAAAAAAAAAATGAATCCTAAAGGAAAGCCATCAAGCCCAAAATGGGATTTTTTTGATTTATGGACAAAAATTTGACCTTCATGAGAACTTTTTCTCTTTTATTGAAATTTATTTTAATGGACCTTAAAGTTGAAGGTGTAAGGTAAATTATGATGAAGATTTTTTTCTTAGAGGTGATGTGGGGTTGAAAAAGTTTTGGAAGGCTCTAAATCTTTTTTTATGATTTTTTTGGAGGAGATTTATGAGGCAAATCTATAAGGAAATTTTAAAATTTTTTAGATGATTTACATTAAGTTTCTGAACTTTTGAGCTACAATATTGGGGTTTTGGACTTGTGAGGAGGAAGGGGGCGATGATAATCTAGTTGTATGGACTTTTTTCATAGCCTGGCATTATTAGCGACGGTCGCAGAATATTACAAATAGCGGTTCTCGAGTGGGAATTGAACCACCGTTCTATGATTTTCCATAGTATGTTCCTCCCGATGAGCTTTGAGGATTTATTTGATTTTATTTCAAAATGCCACTAATCTACGAACTGTTTAATCCTTTAAATTCCTTGATGATGTCAACCATTATTCTCTTATTACGCCACTGTTCAACAACCCTCGAACAGCTAGCTTTAGCCTTGAATGAAAAAAATCAACACCACATCAAAAAAGCTCTTTTAAGCTTTCATCCCAAGAAATTGATCGTCTCCCTTCAAAATTAATTGTCACTCTTCACAAATAAAATGAAAACTCAACCACAATGCTGAGAGCATGAAAATAAATTCAATTTATTTTTTTTAATTAAATAAAACTTAAGCTTCTTCTTGTTCTCCTCTCTTGTTTTTCCATCCTATTCATTCAATTTCATATACATCACATATAAAATGAAAGCGAGAAAACATAGAAGAAAGGAAACTTTTTTTTCTTCCTATCATCATTCTATGAAATAAACAAGATGAATTGGCGTTAACATCAACAACAATAAAATGTGAGGATGAGGAGGGAAGAAAGATGATAAATGGACATTCATGTAGTGAGATTGCGAATAAAAAAAAGACAGAGAGTCAATTGTTGTTGGTGTTCGAATCGCCAGTTCAACAGAATCTATAAAGGAATGGGTGCAAGGAGCTGAAGAATAAAAATATAGAAAAAATAAACTTTCCAATGCTTTTGTTAGAAAAGTGCCTACGGTATATGGACTTTTTTCTGCTGGGATAGCTGGTTTTATAAGGAAAATCCAGGATGTATAGATTAAGAAAGCTTCGAGTCTCTTAATAAAGCTGGTCGTTCACAATAACATTCTGCTGGGCTTGTTAATAGTCCCTAGATAGTTTAGTGGGAGGAACATGACACCGAACATCGGACAATGATGTAAGGATACGAGTTCGATTCTCACTGAATCACAAATTTGATGTGCTGATTTTTTGGAATGATTTTTATTCTTTAATTTATTCAAAACATGTTAATATGAGCTTCAGGATATCTCAAGCACATCACAAAGCATCAACCAAATTCCCAATCCCAAGCCTCAATCCATACTACCCGCTGAGCGCAAATAAAAGCTATTGTATGAACTAAAACCACCAACAGTTTTGTTATACTGATAACACTGAATGTTGAGCAAGGAACAGCCGCTTTATCACAATGAATTGGCTATTGGTCATTCTCACATACACACATAGAGAGATATTGTTCCCTCCATATGCTGCATGAGCTAGAAAAACTTAATTTTCATTGAATGGTAAATTGAATTGAATGTCGATGACGATAACAATAGTTTTAAGCGCATCCTAGTATGAAAGAAAAAGCAAAAAGGAAAAAAAAGCAGGAATAACGTCATATGTGAGTAGCTTCTGTTCTGTCATCATCGATGATGCCAGAATGGCTTTTGTGAAATTGTGAATATGAATGATAAAAAATAACAGCAAATGGCTTCACATGGAAATGAAAATATTTTCACAATAATCCGGAGAGGGAACTGGATTATGTCCAGAAATATGTTCATTGTAGTCTCCCGGAATGACTGTATATAATGTTATGTGGATGTATTTGTATGTGGATTTTTCACACCTGATTTTTTATTTCAATGCGCTACTACAAATTCACTATGAGAATGAATGAACAAACAAAAATAATAATAATAAAGGAATGAACATCCAGTTTCTACATAAAAATGGCAAAAACATTTAAAACAATAAGTTTTCAGTTCTTTACCCGGCAGCTGACGATGAGTTGGAGAGATTTGAATGTTGTCTTACTGGTATCTTAGATGGACGACTATATATGCACAACGGATCAATATTATTGCCATATATAGAAAAGTAGATACATGAAGAATTTTTTATAGCAGAAATAGAAATAGAATAAAAATAAATTTGAGAATGAAATATCTTATAATGGGGAAAAAATAAATAGCAGTTTTAGGTCATCACAATGACAACTTGGGAAAGGATTATTCTTCGTTTTTTTTGTGAACCTTTTCAATTTATTTTCTGATCTCTTTCTTAAGACTTTATTTCTTTTATGACAAGTTTGGTCATTAAAATTGGAAGATCAAATTGATTAGAATTTCGAGTTGAGACTATAAATTTGCTCATTAAAGAGCTTGATTGAATTTTTTTAAGGGTTAGAATTAAAAATTCTCACAGCAAGATTAGAGATTAATTGGTTTTTTTTTGGAAGGGGGGTGCGAGTTTGTGTGCAAAATTTTGATATTGAACAATTTAAATTGTAGAATTATTTTAAAAAACTGAAATTTTGAATTTTTAACAAATTTAAATTTCATAAATTAATAAAATTTAAATTTTGAATTTTAAAGAATATTTTTAAAATTTTAAAAATTAAATTTAAAAAATTTCAAATCTTAAATTTGAATTTATAAAATAATTATTTTAAATATTTCTCACAAAGCCGCACTCCCCTCGCAATCTTATTAGTATAAAATCAACATTATTGAATATTAATCTTGTTAGCAATACGTTACCTAGGTGTCGGTAGTCCTGATAGTGTCGGTATACTCGATGATCGACTCATGCCGTTTCCGTTCCTTTAGTTGTTTAGTATAACAAAAAGTTATGGATATTAATTTGTGATGAGATGAAAAATAGAAAGTTTTTTTGGATGTTAAGAATTTAATTTTTTTTTTGTTAATTGAATTAAGTCAAGAATTTTTTTTATCAATCAACCAAAAGAAGGAAAAGTTGTCAATTTTTGGAATGGAAAAAGATGCAAAAAAGTAAAAAAGTTTCACACAAAAATTATTTACCTTGTGGGTGCAGGACTAGCAGATCCAGATGGCGTATGAGTTGTACCATTTGATTTAATAGCAGAACCAACAGATAATCTAGCAGGTCGAGCTGGTGTTGAGGTGATTACTCTTCGTGTTGGAATCCTTGTCGGTGTTCCATCATCTGTTATTGAGTACGACGATTGTGGAGGGAAGAAGAAAGGGAAGAATTAGATGATGACGATGATGATGATTGATGATTGATGGATGAATAGACGTAGAAGGATAGATTGAGGAAAGAAATTATTTTTTAAATTTACCGTTGCTATTTAGTGAGAGGTTCGAGCCATGTCTTGAGTTATTTCGACTCAATGGTCTGGAATTGGGTTTTGAGTTGCCTCGAGAGCCGCCTGGTGTGATGCCGGTTCTGTGGAATCAAATTAATGAGAATATAGTTAAAATTCAGTTGATGACTAGCTTTAAAGTAGCTATTAATAACTTTATAGCAACAAAAATATCTCACCTCAAGCCGACAGACGACTTTCTAGGTGTATATCCACGTGAGCTGTTGCCTTCATTATCGCTCAAAGAATCAGGCGTTGATGCTGACAATGATGATCTGGATGGACGTGACATAGCCATGGATCTTGATGAACGCTCACGTACCTAACGAAGTTTTTATATTTCATTAAAAGGAGAGAAAAAGCACAGAACATGACAAGAAGGAGAGAGAAAAAAGAGGAAAAAAAATTAATTAAAAATTTTTCCATTTGTGATGAGAAAAAAAATTGAAATGAAAAATTGAATCAACGTTAAAGGCGTTAGGATTCAACAGGGGGAGATTAAAACTTTTACGAGATTAACGCGAAGAAGAAGAAAGGAATAAAAAGTTCAAAGTGAAAATTGACACTGACATCACTTGCATTATTAGAACTAAGTTTAAATGGATGGAAGGCAACTATGAAAAGGCATTAAATGAGATATTAATTTATCACTTTTCACTTTTCCTCGCTCACTTAATTCAATTATGCATGTAATAATTGTTTTAAAGGATGTAAAACTATCGACTGATGATGAGATTGAATGCTTAAAAGTTGGATTTTGTGATGATAAAGTTTTGATGTATTTACATGAGTTTAGAGCTACACTAGGTAATTTAAGCTTATATGCTTATCATAATTGGTGTTGCTTTTGAATGACGTGCAATATCTAAGGACACACTCTATCTAGAGCTGTAATACTGAAATATTCTAGAGACAGCATCTCTGAACAACTCTTTTAAGATAGTTGTAGCATTTATAAGCACCCTCTCTTAAAGTGAGGAACTAAATCTCATTTTTATTACAGAATTTGAAACAATAATTCCATTTAATCATCAATTATCATGCTAATGAGTCAACAACTACTTCAGCACGATAATGACAAATAATCTCATCCAAAATGAGCATTTAATTGATGTCGAAACTACATCAAACTCATCTCATCTTTTTTAATCCATGAAAATAAAAAATTTAATCCATAAGCTTTTAAACTTCATTAAATGAAATGCTAGAAAATGATTTTCATCAAACTTTTTCAGTGAAGCTTCACATCCCATCAAACTTTTTGTTCCCGTCTTCATCTTTTTGGGGGTTTGATCACTTATTTTGCTTGACGTAATAAGCGAACATCCCCATTACAAGTCGACATTAATGTCTCCTTCTCGTAATTTAATCTCAACTTAATCCTAGAAAATTTCTTTAAAATAATAAAAAATTAGAAACAAAATAAAATAATGAAGTACAAGAAAATTTAAATCTCGTGTAATTAGAGACAATTTTTCTCCAGCGCAAGGCTTGATGATAAATACACAAATTTGAAGATTATGGATACACTTTTCTTTAAATGGTTCGTGTCCTTCGTAGAAGAGCGGAAAAAAACAGCAAACGGAACAAAATTCATTACAAGTGTAGAGAGAAGAAGAAGTAGCTGGATTGTGGACAAATTGTAAGACAAAAAAGAAACACATCAATTTACTCTTTACTTCCATTAACCATGAATCCTCCTTTCATTCGATAGCCATTTATATGCGAATTTTTCTTTTTCGATCCTTCAATTTCCTTTTTATTTTCATCTCATCTCATCTCTTGCCTCGATGAGAGGGGAATTACGAGCAATCGATGATGAAATGAAACATAAATCTTGCAGATGAACAAACTTTTTTTTCCAAGTGGTTCTGTGCGGTTGTTTTTCATTCTTCTTATATCCACAACAACACAAAGTTATACATCAAAATAAATAAGTACAATAAATATAGACAGAGAAGAATAAATGGATGGATGGATGGATAGATAGATATTATATAGATAGATGTATACTATATCCTGATGTACACTTCCATATTGATAAATATAAATTTTGTGAGATCAAGGAAGGGTAGCTAACGCTCTATTTGGAGGACTAAATGTTCGTGTGGCTAAATATGCATTGGTAGACTTTTTATCGATTATTGGAGGAGGCTATCATTCTAAACTAAATTAGATTGACTAGATTTAAGAGGTTCTCATGATTTATTTGATTGGTTATAGCATATATTTTAGGTTATGTTCGAAATTACAAAAGGTTGTAACCCAAAGTAGTAAGATGTAAGAATGCTTCGAAACATCTAAAGTATATGCAAATACAACTTCTTAAAAATTGCAAGAAAATCGGAGAAAATTCTTAATTATAACCTTTAAACCAGTGCTTCTCAAACTTTTTGGATTGGGACACTTATTTGGTGTAAATTCGGCAGTTCGTCAGAAGTTTCGCGACCCACATGAAGATTTGGAGACATAGAAATTTATCGCGAAGAATACCTTAAGAAGCACTGCTATAAACCCATACCAAACAAACCATGACTTCACTTAGAACCTCATAACTAAAATAAAAGCTCAAAAATCTTCAAACAAGCCACACACATAAAGAGAAATCATAAGGTATAGTATCGCATCCTAAACACACATTCTTCGACACATCCTCAAAGTCATACTATACACTTTATTTATTTTTTTTTTATACAATAAAATGAAAGGAAAATAAGAATTGAAAAAACTTACTCAAGTTGAAGAGAAAGGAAAAAAAAAATTATAAAAGAAAATCGGAAATAAAATTTATTGGCATGAAGACAACAGCAACAGCAGCAACAAAACACGAAATTTCCGTCGATTTATTTATTTTTTTACTCTTTTGTGTTTATAATAACTTACCCAATGCGTCGATGGATGACAATGTGGTGCATGAGGACTCAATGGCGTCGATCGACTGCCACCGCGTATAAAAGCTGTGCCAAATGATGTAACGTGTAAAGGATATGTGCAAGGCAAGTCACCTTGTGCACGCAATTGCTCAAATATCGGCATTAATTCAGCAAGATGTTCTTCGGCTACATTTTCAATATTATTTTTTTCCCATCACATAACATTCGTGATTTTTAAGAAGAGATGGATATAAAGTGAGCAAGAATAGACCCGAATGTGGATGGAAAAAAGAGATAGAATTGTTTAATTTTAGATACAAAAGTTTTTTTTTTTTTTTTTCAATGAGAGCCGCATCAAAAAGACGAATGGATCATTTAATCGAACAACAGCCATCCGAGGGCTGACCGAAGGAGCCTATTTCAGTTTATTAACAAACTTTCATTCTCTTGTAATTTTCGTTACATTTTTTTTTTTTTGATTAATTTGTCACAAAAAATATGTGTTATTTTAGTCTTGCAGACTAGCAACAACAAAAACGCATTAAGAAATGACTAAATGGCATCACAAAACATCATTGGATGAAAATGGTAAGTTATTTGTTATCAAGTGTCAAGAGCCTTTTAATATATTTGTATATGTTGCCACACATTCTCACAAATCATTATGTATGTACACGCATATATGTCGAGTGAAGCATGAGGCTGTTGGATTGTGGACTTGATGGTAAATATTGAGCATGTGGTTGAGAATTAATCATGATTTACTGAAAATATTTTGTCAGGGGTGTCGCAAAAAGCTTTATATGGCGGGATATGAATGAATTTTGATGTGCTCCTTTGCAGGAACTGAAAGTGACTGAATTTAAGCATTTTTGAATGAATTTTATGATTTATTAGATACTCAGTCAATTCAACTAGTCGTGAAACTGTGAAATTGAGTATCCAAGCTCAGTCAATGACACCAAAAGCTTCTCGGTTAGTTCCGAAACTTTCAATAATTACCACTATGGCATTTTTTTTAACCTCAAATTCCAATAGTCCCAACAGTCCAACATCTCATCACTCGGTCTTACAAAGAATAATGAAAGGATATAGGAAATCTCATTCTAAGGATCATGTATACTATGGGAGTATCAAGTATATATGTGAAGAATTTATATCCCTTGTGATGATGATTATAATGACGATGAGAAGTTTAATCCTTACGAGGATTAAATTGTCCTCAATTCCTTTTTTTTCACTTCTCATTCTTATCATCATCATCATCATCACATTCACAAGCGCATACAGAACAGTTTATTGTTGTTGGAACTGGACATAAGACTGTGTAGGAATGAATTTCACAACATGATACAATGAACATCAAAATAAATTCTAAATGAAAAATGATATTTAACAGATATATAATGTAGCAGTCGTACACACAAAAAAAAAGAATTCCATGCAGCAAAACAAAAAAACCACGGGAAAAAAAGAGAAAGACTCACAAAATTTCATGACAAAAGAAGAAAAGAAAAAAAATTTTGCCATCATAAAAGCGGAAAAAGCTTTTTTTTCTTTCTTTCTTTTTCATGAAAATTCTCGTGATGGTCGCCGTCGTTTTCATTTCATATGCAGCCAACCAAAAAATAACAACGGCACAACAACAACAAAAAAAAATTGTTTAAAAAGCAAACGCAAAAACCAGAAAAATGCATAAACCAAATGTGTGCAAGGAAAATAACACAAAAAAAATTATAAATAAATTCAAATTCATTCCAATTTGCAGAGGAAACAAAATAAATGAACACAAAGTCTACCGCACCTTACCTTTTTTTTGTGCTTATTCACAGGAATTTTTTTCTACGATATCAAGGCGTGGGAATTAAGGTGATGATGGGAATAGTAGATTTTTGTAGTTTTTGTATGTGATACTTTTGGGATGTATCAGGTACTTTTTGTGAGCTTTTTGGTGGATTTTATAAAGATTTAGAGCTAATTTGTTTGATTGATGCTTGTTCAATATTTTTAAGAATTTCGCAGATTTAGCCAAAGCTAATACATTCAGAAGCTACACATTCCGAGACAAAATAGCAATATACTTGATTTTAAGCATTAAATCTTAAAACCTTCTGGGGTTCTTAAATCTTAAAATAGCAAATTTACCTCACCAGGGAAATTCAGGAAAGTTCAGAGACAACTTGTAAAAAATATGGAAACTCGCCTGTACCTTACAATTGAAGCTACTTCATGGCTAGGCTGTCCATCGATTTTTGCCGATTTCTGGTCATGTCTTGAAATCAGCTCTAAAAAAGCGGGACCAAATTTTAATTATTCTCAAAAAAATCGGGACATTAAGGTTTTAAGGGGGCTTTTGTTCGAAAATGTGCAGTTGGACAGCCTACTCATGGCTAAATGTCTATCACCCTTTAGCATAAATGATGTTAAGCTCAACACAAAAATGAATTATTATTAGAATTATTGGGTACTTTAGAGACAGGTCTTAATAGACATCTAAAAATTAAATCTTCACTCTGGTCAATACTAACCCCAAGTGACTCAAAATAGGTAAGGGCAAGCTTATAGAATCTATATTGCAAACTTATGATCTATTCTTTCTGCATTAATTCAAAATTGATCATTGATTCCGCAAAGAACCTATCCGTAGACAGCCATTTGCCTACAAATTCCAAAAAATCCACCTCCAACATTATTCAACCCCTAAAAAAAAATCCACACCTTGATTTCTATTTCTATGTATGAATGCATTAAATTGTATAATATATGAATAATGTGTGCATTTAAATTCAATTTTCACAGCACATGAGATGTGTGCATATTTCTATGAAGATGAAGTTGAAAGAGATAGAGAGACAGTATAGAGGGGAAACGTTCTAAATATATATACTATATTTTTTTGGGGAGAGACAGACAGATTTACCTTAGCCGCATTTCTATTCAGTTGAAATAACAACCACAAAAAAATAGAGAATTTTCATATTGCATAATATATATTTTTTTAAGGGAAATGAAGAAGAAGACACAAACCATTATAATAAAATACTTTTCAGGTATGTTTATTTGGAAAAATATTTTCATTCACGTTGGTTTTAAAAAATATTCAAGTTTAAAAATATTGTTTTGGATAAAAATTTTCTAATTCTCAGATTATTCAAATTATTTCTTCTAGTGTCGATGAATAAAATATTCTTTGTAATAATCGAGTTTGCATAATTTAATCATTATGTTGAGATAGTTTTACAGGCAATTTCGTATTTTGGGTATCTAAAAATTATTATGAATTCATTAAGTGTTTAGGATTTTTTTTTTTATTAAGGATGAGATTTTGAGATAATTGGAAGTGATTTTGAGCTATAATGTTTGAATTGGGGTGTAGCTTACCCTTGAAAATTTTATTGGGCTGCTAAAATAAGTTTTATGAGTCTTTAGGCTAATTTGAAACAATATTTGAACATTTACTGACAATGCTATGTGACTTTAGAGTTACTATCTTAGCTTCACGCCATCTAAGAGCAACTACGAAAATATTGAATGACAATTAAGGGCTAAGTTCTATAACTTGTTTAAAATGGAATTTATTTTAAGCGTTACATAACATTTTGAGGATTTCTGCCTTAAAAAAATCCAGTTTACACTAAACCAGGAAAATCTACTTTGAAGTAAGCCTACTTTTGGTTTTCCTGGGTCATGACTTATTCAAATTCTAAGTCAAAATACAAACTTCTGGATCATAAAGTACGTCTTTGTTATCAATAATGAATTGGACATAATCAACGATTTTCTAGTGAGCTTAAGCACATCAAAAAGCAATCACTGAGCATGATCTTTGTCTTTCACAGCAATACTTACTAACTTGATCCAAAAATCAATAAATTTTCATCCAAAAAAATTCCTTTTACTTTCATATTTTCCTAAATGAATGAATTCAAAAAAAATTCCAAATCCTGACCATAATTATCTACGAGATTTTCGAACCGTAAAAGCTTTATATCATCTTGTGTATTTATATAATTGCAGAGGATTGTCAGAAAAAATAATGAAAAATTTACTACATAAAAAATTTATAAAAAATTCTTCTTAATTAAAAAAAAAGATCTACAATTGTAGAATCTGTAGCATAGCGCATGTATAGCATATTTGTCTCTATATCTAATAATTATTTATGAATTTACCTTTACAATAGGCCCTTGCGTTGGCAATGGCGATCCATTCTGACTAGGCGATTGCGACGTTAAGGATACGCGTGGCTTGAAAGCTGTCATACTTTGCGATACACCATCAGCCAGAATGAATTGTTCACGTAGCTCAATGTTGGTACGTCCCTTGGCTAATATATTCACGAATAACATAGTTTACGTATGTGTGTGTATGTATATTTAGTGATGTGAATATAGGAGATAGGAGCATAGACACGGATGTGTAGTAGCATTTATAATGATTTACAGTTTTAAACAAGCCGGACGCGCACAAATTAATCCACAACAAAAAAAAATATTTTTTGTACATAAAGTAACAGGAAAAAAAACATAATCACAAGTTGGCACAGGGATAGTGGATGTAAATTGATGATGGATTATGAGGATGATGTGAATTTGAGTGATTTATGGAAGGCAAAAATATTTATTTTTTTTATGTAGCCAACCGGAAATTTTGTTTTGTTGGAAGGAAAGAAAAAAACAGAAAAAAATTCGAATTAAGTTTAAAAAAAAAATCATTGACACAAAAAATTAACAAGAAAATAAATAAAAAAAAAATCATTATTTAAATTGAGAATTGAATTGAATTGCAGCGAGGAGGCAATCATGATGCACAGATTGTACAATTTTTAATTGCATCCTTCCAGCCTTTCATTTACTCAATTCTCAATTTAACATTAATATAAATTAAATTAACAACAACAATAAAATAATGTGTATCAGATTTCAGACAAAAGTGAAATAAAGTCAATAATTGGAAATAAAAATGAATGTTTTTGTGTGACTTCCGCTGTTGATTTCTATCCTATGAATGGATGTCTTTCTATTGGATTTCATGGTGATATGAAGCTGTGATGATCGAATTAAATTATAATCGATTAAAGGCATTGATGTTGTGAGCTTTAAAGCTATAATAAGCTTAAAAATAGGATTTTAATAAGCTAAAGCTAGAAGCTTAATATTAAGTTGCTCCAAAATTTTGTGATTTAT